GAATAATGAGACATTTGGGCTGTTACCAAACAAATGGTATAAATATCAACGAAATTAATCTTTACAATGCAGAGGAAACAAGTTGCATCTGAAGTGACATTTAGATGTCACACTGTTTAATGCAGCTCAGAGGGACATGGGATGCTTTAACCTGCAGTTACAAATGCATAGATAATGTTTTGATATTGTAAACAAAAAACGTTGAATACTGACATTTGAAATTATTAAAAAAATATAAATGTGAACTTTAAACCACCAGTAGATGGCAGCAAGTCACTGTTAGAGTCATTGCGATTGAACCGAATCATTTAAAGGTTGATTCATTCAGAAACGAAACACCGTCATGTTTGTTTATTGAACTGTATATTAATATCACATAATTTTAACATCACATTTTAAATCATGTTGATTTTTGGAGAAAAGAAACGGCAATGATATATAAATGATATTTATATAAACTATAAAATTATATAAATTTATATATTTTCATCATTCGAAATGTATTTTAATAAACTGAATCATACAGTGAAAGAAAGCACTGTAAATGCGCACACACACACTAGTCTAACCTTCTACACTTCATTACACTGTTTCTCTGGCATTTTCAAAGGTACGTAACATAATACTGTGGCTTGGCATGATACACAGTCTAATGGTCTAACGAAATCCAGTTTTAAACATCTTTTACTGTACGCATTGTTATGGCCTTTATATGACCTATTTGAGCCAATGCAGATGAATGAAGTTATCTCAGGACGAGACTGCCGTGATTGTAAAGCAAAATGTGATTGGCTATAACGAGATCGTGCTATGATTGGTCAGCGAATGTGGCTGTTATCTGATTGGCTTGAGTAGACGGTGGGTGGAGTCCACGTATTTGTGGATTGTCAGCACGTCTTGACGCAAGAAATGTTTCACAATTCGCAAATGCACAGGACGATTCACAAATAAATGCCAGGCAATGTTGTGGTTGTGACGTAAATATATATTTGTGAATGTTTTTTATTTGCTAATCATTTTATTTATTTGTGAATTTAATGTTTGTCAGCACATCTTGACGCAAGAAATGTTTCACAATTCGCAAATGCACAGGACGATTCACAAATAAATGCCAGGCAATGTTGTGGTTGTGACGTAAATATATATTTGTGAATGTTTTTTATTTGCTAATCATTTTATTTATTTGTGAATTTAATGTTTGTGAAACTTTAAGATTTATTTGTGGATCTCATTCTATTTATTTGTGGATCATAATCTATTTATTTGGAATTAAGCAACAATTCTACCCCCATACAGCAGATATGCGATCAAATTTCTAATTTGAGGCTGCATTACGTCGATTCTGGCACCCAACATCACAAGATGATGATATTTTAAGCTCCTTATGTAGCCGAATCTGCACTGGTTTGAATGGGCCGCCTCCAGTTTCCCCTTTGTTTTGCTGCCTCCAGCTAGCGCTGTGACGTCGGCTCACCCTAGTTACCTGTGGTTGGCCTGGCCGTGCGTCACTCAGAAAACAACAGGCCAATCGGAAGAGAGGCTCATGAATATTAATTAGACAGGCCAAAAATCGACCTGTTCTCAGCAGAGCTCCTGAGAAAGGAGCTGTAAAAATATATTGAGATGGTTTTTGGTACTTATGCTGCAAATATATATTAAGGACATCAAAACCTAAACTAAAACTCCAGAAAGGTGTAAAATGTGACCTTTAAGGGTAAGTTCACCCAAAAATGAAAAATAGTTTTACTCGCCCTCAAGGCATCCTAGGTGTATATGATTGGATTCGTCTGAAAGAAGAAAGACAGAGTTTTCCCGCGCCTGTGAGATAAGCTGGTCTCGCGAGTTTGCTATTATAAAGCTTGGAAGAGCAAGGACAATTTTAATATAATTCCGATTGGGTTCATCTGAAAGAAAAAAATCATACACCTAGGATGCTTTGAAGGTGAGTGAAACATGGGCTAATTTGAATTGCAGTAGTAAAAAAAATAAAAAATACAGGTCGAGCTACAGCTAGCTGACCAGCCTTCTAGTTTGTATAAAATGGGTTTTTTACTTGCCCGACGGGACATATAGACTGATTAAAACAATTAGAACAAAGGCCTCCTGTAGCGAACCGGTGTGTTTTTGTAAGAAAAATAACCATATTTAAGACGTAATAATCAATTTAATCTAGCTTGCGCTCACTGTTGTACACTGAAGCAGTTCCGGGCGGGTGACGTAGGACGTCGGCTTTGTCAGAAGTGACGAACGCGGAAGCGCAGCGGAGAGATCAAAACAAAACAACGGTCACTAATTAGAAGTACAAAACAAGGATTTTTAAAGAAGAATGTCAGAGGATTTCGATATAAGCCAAGAGGAGAATGGTTTTCCTTTGCTAAAGTAAGGAAACTTTGCTCCTGTTAACAAACGTTGGTTTTCACAAGACTCACCGGCGCATGCGCAACGCTGACCTCATACGTCATCTGCCCGGAGCTGCTTCTGTGTACAACTGTAGGCGCAAGCTAAATTAAAGTGATTATTACGTTTTGAATATGGATATTTTTCTTACAAAAACGCATTGATTCGCTACAGAAAAACTTTGTTCACCCCCTGGAGCCGTGTGAGACTTTTTTAATTAATTTTTTTAAATGGATGGGTGCTTTTTATATAACTACTTTTAGACTGAAGCACTGCAACACCCGCTGAGTGCCATTAAACGGCTTGAAAGATCGAAGACAATTTTTAATATAACTCCGACTGGATTCATCTGAAAGAAGAAAGTCATATACACCTAGGATGCCTTGAGGGTGAGTAATTTATGAACTAACCAAATAGTTACTAAGTCTGATGATACACTGGGCAACTGTTTGGGCAATTTTGCTGGGCAACTTTTTTGACCAATGATTCTTGGGCACTTTCCCACTGAGAATGGGTAACAAATTTCTATCAGGATACTTTAGATTGGTCATGGGCCCTGTGTCTCACCTGGTTGCCCGTTGAAAAGTTGCCCCTTGTATCATCAGCCTAAGTTACTTTAAGACACAATATTTACCGTTTTGTTCTATTTCGACAATGAAAATAGTTCTGAACAAGGATCACAGCAGAAGTATTTCACATTCTCCAAGCAACACTCGGCGGTGATTTGTTACTGAATGATTCAGTGTTTAACGAATCAGTTGAATGAATGACTCAATGACTCAATCGCCACCTGATGGTTAAGTTTGATTAAAAGTACAGGTGCATCTCAATAAATTAGAATATCATGGAAAATTATTTATTTCAGTAATTAAACTCAAATTGTGAAACTTGTGTATTAAATAAATTCTATGCACACAGACTGAAGTAGTTTAAGTCTTTGGTTCTTTAATTGGGATGATTTTGGCTCACATTTCACAAAAACCCACCAATTCACTATCTCAACAAATTAGAATACTTCATAAGACCAATAAAAAAAAACATTTTTAGTGAATTGTTGTCCTTCTGGGCACCTGTATACATTTTCCCCCAACATTTCTTATTTGTATACTCAAATGTATTTTAAACATTAATCTCGTAACATTATTTATTGCAGTTGTAATTTGCAGTGTAAACTATTTAATTTGACTGGTGACAGCCCTATATTGGATTTATTAGTCAATTGTAAAAATTTAACATGAAATATGATGCATGCTTTTAAAAGGGTAAAAAAAAAAAAAAAAATAGGCCTTAATAAAGGTAAGTAGCATCCTGGGGTAAATATCAAAAATATGCAGACTTGTGTAAAAGCTGATGCTTCAGAATAAATTGTTTACACCACTAAAAATCTTGTCTGCTCATATGAAAAGTTCACTGTATATTGTATTAATAAATAGCATTTATGACAGCGATGATATTTATGTAATGTGTATTTCCATCACAGGTTTAGGTCTTAAATTTGATGTAGTGTGGTATTAAAAAGGTCTTACATTTAACACATTAATACCTGTAGAAATCCTGTAAAAGCATCTGCTAAATGATTAAACAAAAATTAAGTTTAATTACAATTCTAATTTCAAGGGCTCAACCCTAGAGTTTTTTTCTTCTCTTCCCCCTTCTCTCCTGCGTTTGTAAACCAAACTGCTCTGAGACTTGGAAAACATGCAATGTTTAATTAAAAGCTTTGAACCATACAATGCAAAAGTATATACTTTATTTAATTGCAACCTCTTACAATTTGATCATTTTTTGTTTATTTGATGTTTCATGACATCTAAATGTATTTTTGGTTAATTTTGAAACACTGGCTGGTCACCACAGTCTAGGTGGGAAACGCTATATGGTACTATATATATAGTGTATCCCTAGGTGTTAAAAGTAAATACAGATTCCAAGGTAACTGTCTTTAAGTGTTTGATATTAAGCTTCTTATCTTTATTATTTTTAGAAAATAAACCTAAGAAGGAGCTGATCCGCATGCTTCAGCAGATGGGCTATGACTCGGACCCTGTTAAGGCATGGAAAGATGCTCAGGAGAAGGTGCGCTCTACAACAACCTAATTTATTAAATTAAATTCCTTTGGTTTCTTCCTTTGACCTGTTAACTGCATCAGTATCATTTTCATTTTGTGTTTGGCAGGATGCAGAGGAGGATGAGGATGAGGAGGAGAAGGAAAAAGAGGATACATCTGGCCCGGATTATAACTATCTACTCAGCATGCCAATGTGGTACCTGACCAAAGAAAAGAAAGATGAGCTGTGCAGACAGAGAGATGCTAAGGTGACTATAAGTCTATGATGGATGGAAGCACAGCTGGGGGATTTAGTGTAGCAGTGGAGTTTACAAAGGTTCTCATGCTTCTGTTCTGCAGACGACGGAGTTGAACACGCTCAAGATAAAAGCACCTGCTGATCTGTGGAAAGAGGATCTGGCAGCCTTTACTGAGGAGCTGGAGGTAAACAAGATGCCGATCTTTTTTTTTTGCATTTGGTGGAAGCTTATATACCAAACATCTTGTACTGCAGTTGCTTTATATGAAGAAATAAGTTTGTCATTTTAATGAAAATTATGCCCGTTTTCAAAACTAACATTTCAGTGTAATAAATGATTTGTGAAGTCATCAATGATTATTTGTGTTTGCATATAGCGTGTGGAACAGAAGGAGATGGAGTCACAAAATGCAGTTCCTGTGGTGAAAGGAAAAGTGGGAAAATCAAAGGTGGTGAAGGTAAAGAACGAGACCATGCCCACTCCACAGGGCCGCCGCGTCATCCCCCGCATCACCAGCACCATGAAGGTCCAAGCCGTTAAGAAGGAGGGAGCCAAACGAGGCAAAGCTGTGAAGGTATGTGTGTGCAGAATGAGATTTGCATGCGTGCATAAACGGTATGTATGCAAATCTCTGAATGGTCACTGTACTGCACTTTGGATTACTGTTTATTCAGATTATTTTTGTTTTACAGCAGCGAATTCAATCAGTTTTCATAGCCAGACATTTTATAAGTTTAGCTGATCCTGAAGGTATACTTGTGTGTATTTTTTAGAAAGAAGCTGGTGTGGTGATGAAGATGGAGTTTGATGATGATGCAGATGCAGCAGCTGACAGCTCTGAGATGGGACTGACTGCAAGAATCACTAAGAAGGTCAAGAAAGAGCCAGCCAAAGACAAAAGTAAGACAGACATGTACTGTATGAAAATAGAGGAAGTAGGATGTCTGTGGACTGCTGCTTTTCATGTAGTCGAAATTAGTCAAACATTTGTATTAATTAACTATTAAATGATGTGACTATATTACAGGATTTCGTATGATTTTAAAGTTACACACCTAAACCTCAGTGGGGTGTAAGTCAATCATACAAATTCTTATGAATTTTCCACAATCTCATCAAAATGAGAACTGGTTATGAATTGCCATGAGACCATTGGGAAGAACATGGCCCTCAGTCTGTAGCGCACACAAATGCACCATCACACAGTTGATACAGAATTTAAAATGCCCCCATTTTGTGTGACAGTGTAGTTCTTAAATGGGGAAATTTGAATTTACAGAAGAATCAGCTGTTGGTTAACCATTTCAGAGTCCTTTGTAGTTCTGTAACGTGCAATTTTGATAGAACTTATCAGATGCATTCATGCAGTGTCATCAAATTCTGATCTTAAGGTTTCATCTCGTCTTTGTGTCAGGCACAAAGTCAGGCAAGCAGACCACCCTCTCCTTTAAACCGGTCCAGAAGAACAACCCCTGGTCTTCTGAGGAAGGAGAGTCTGAATCTGACATGGAGCTCATCCCTGAGGAAGTGGCTCCAAGAGAAAAGAAAGAGCGCAAAGGTGAAAATCTTCTGTGCACGTTTACTCCTTTAGTTCATGAAGTGATGGAACAAGATGAAGTCTAAAACTGATTAGCTGCCTTTTTTTTTTTTTCTTTTCTTTTTTTTCCCCCTCCATACTAAAGGTCCAAAATTTTCACAAGCTTTTTTTTTTTCATATTCGTCAAACTTTCCTATCAAAATGCTTGCTATGGATGCGAAAACTCAGAAAATCGAATCTGATCCGAATTTTATGACAGATAAAAGTTTCAGAGGCAGTGTGTAAACGTGATTGACACAACGTGGGGTCGTTTATTTTTTAACGTGTGAAAATTTCGGACTCTGTGTGCAAAGACACTAAGACTATTGGGAGAGAGAGTGTGATCTGATATGCATTTTATGGAGGTCTGCTGTATTGTTATAAAGATCTCACTGATTTTCATAATTTTTGGCCATATAAATATCAGCAACTACATCAAGTTGAGACTGAAGATCATGGAAATCCATTTGACAAAAGTGTGGGATCCCTGAAAGTAAATTGGAAAACAAACAAACAAAAAAAAAACTGTATAATTGTTATAACTGTATAACTTGAATAATTTTGTGTCTTTGCAGCTGCGGCGGAAAAGAAGTACAGTCTGTCGAGCAGTGAAGACGAGTTTGATGACTTCGCGAAGAGCTCTAAACAGAAGCGCGCTGTCATTGAGGATGATGAGTCTTTCATCCCAGAACCCAGCGGTGCTGCTGATAGTAACATTGACTCCCCTCCTCCCGCACCTGTTGTGTAAGACGGACACCACTTCTACTTCTGCTGCACAGATTTAGATTGTTCTCTATTATGACTATCTATAGTATTATTCTAAAAATTCTATCTATATTTTTCTATAATATTGTTTTCTTTGATTCTTTCAGGAAAAAAGCACCAGCAAAAGCCAGCAAACCAAAAGTAGAGAAACCCGAAGCCAGTAGCAAGTCTGGCTGTAAGTACCACACAACTGTCTGCCCATCACAGATCATTTCTTTAGCTTTGTCTGTAACATGATTGCTTGTCAGCTGGTTTACTTGTTCACTGTGCTTGTTAAACTAGCTGAGACCAGCCAAGAGACGGCCCCTAAACCTGTGAAAAAATCAGCTGTAGGAGCCACCAAGAAACCGGCCGCAAAGAAGACAACTGCTTCTAAGAAGAAAGCAACAGGTGTTTGAATGTTACTTTTTCAGAGAATGGTGGAATTTCATTGCAGTTATGCTCTTAAAAGTTTCCAAAAGGGCAGTGATGCCATAGAAGAAGCAAAGCCTTACAGTGAACAGTTCTTTAAAAAAATAAAAACATTTTCTTGGTGAGGTACTTTTTTTTTTTTGTTTTGTTTTTTTTTTATCCCTAATTTCCACAATAAAAATTGTGCAATGGAAAGGTTTCACTGATGTTAAAGGTGCTTCATGGCGCTATAAATGCCAGAAAAACCTTTTATAAGCGTATACATTCTTGTATTGAATATCAGTATAGCAGCTTCTTATTAAATAATTTCTGAATGATTTTAACTTTCTAGATGCAAAACAGCCCTCAATCCTTGATGTGCTCTCTAAAACAAGTCCTAAAAAAACCAAAGCCACCAAGAAGCCTGCTGCTGTCATACAGTCTTCTGACTCGGATGGCGCAGCCCCTTTTGTGGTTGAGAAGAAACCAGCCAAGAAGAGGAAGCCCGCTCTGAGCAGTGACCAATCAGACGGCTCGGACTCTGACAGTGGCAATCTGATGGCTCGGCTCAAGGGCAAAAGCACTGCTGGAAAGGTAATTTGACACTTTACTCTTGATCACAATTAGTGTTTTATTGATATCAGTATTTGATAATCAGTATTTTTGTGTTTTACTCCTTTATCAAACGTTCAAATATTGATAAACATACTTGCAAATTAATAGTTGCATGTAGCGTTCAATATTAAACTGCTGTACAAATAATGGTTCAGTACAAGAAAAAAAAATCTGTAATGAAGGACCGTTTTATTGAATTGTGGCCACATGGTAGTTATTAACTCCCTCATTTTAATTTAAATCAAAATGAGAGAGAATTAGTACAAAGTAGTCTTGATTTAATAAAATGAGGGAACAAAAGTTGTAGTAATGAATTCTTCATTTGTGGCCATGATAAACTTACTTTTTTCTTCTTCTTCTTTTCCCCCTGCATGTCATGTGTGGCTCTGTACGTCACCCGTCTATTTTGGTTAAGTTTTGTATAAGCAAGTTTGTCATTGTACTATTTTATTTTTGTAAGAATAATAATCTGCCATTATTAAGCATCCATTTTATTCAAAGAAAAGGAATGATATAATGGTAAAGCTTAAAGCAAGTGCTACAGATCCTAAGCATCTTTGACAATTTATTTGTGAAATGTGCAAAATTGGTATTCTTTTGTCACAATTTTTTAATCCATTGCATTCCTAGTACAAAGAAGCTACAAGCAATAAAACAAATATACATAGTTTTATAGTAGGGTTGTGATGGTGAGGAAATTTTCCCACCGATTAATCGGCGTGTGACAATACCGGTATCACCGCGGGGGCGGGGCATTCCCTCTTTTTCTCGCTTCCTTCGTTTGTAAAAGTGCCGTGTGCATTTTACTTGCACTTTTGAATTAGCGGCAATTCGGCGTCAATTGCTTGAATGCAACAACAAAATACAACGTCAAACTCACTTTAGCGAATATATAAAACACAGAACTTTTGTTAACAAAACAAATAAAAATACAGCATGCTATAGGGCAAGCTATGCCTAATATAAAATAACAAAAAACTTACATAAAGTTTAATAGGTATACAAAACTGAAAATAAGTAAACCTGTATAATATATAACCAAATAAATAAGAAACGTAGAACGTTTATTAGCAAAACGAATGTCAAATAAAATAAATGACAAAGTTTAAATGAAGGAAATATCAGCAAACAATGTGGAACCAATTAAATAAGAAACTAATGTTTAAAAAAACTTCCAAAATCACCTTAGATAAACGGCAAAAGTCAACAGGCTTTTCAAAATCCAAAATATTGCCAAACAGGCGCTTTTGCATTTCATTTCGAAACTAAATCATCTGCGATCGTCTTGTCTGTCTAGCCTCACTCTTCCTGTCAGTCAGCTCAACTCACTCTCCTCACTGGAGAAACAAAATCTGATCTGTGATGCAACTGTCGTTCGGCACGCTGCATTGAGCAGCCGCGTTCAGTTTTTAATTGTAGTGTCCGTTCTTTTACTGAACTAAATTATTTTTATTACTATAAAAAAATCAAAACGGCTTAACACCAGTATCACCGTCAGCACCATCTATCGCGGCAAGCCTCTTTTATAGGAGACATTGCTATAGTAGCTTTATTGAAAAGCTTGTGAGTTTAATCCTGATTTAATTTTCCGTTCCAGAAAGCAAAGAGCTGGGAGGATGACGACAGCTTTCAGCTGGAAGAGAAGGTCGTGATGTCTGCAGCTCCCAGGAGCCGAGCTGCACGTACCACCAAACCTGTGACCTACACTCTTGATTCAGATTCTGATGACTATTAAATGTCCTGAAGTAGCCTGTATGTATGATACTTGAAGGTCACGGAGTTGTTTGAGGTTTTTTTTACTTAAACAAAAAAAACAAACAAAAAAAAAAGATATAAAAATAAAAAAAAGATTATAAACCTTAAGGAAATGTTTATACTTGCAGAAAGCCTGTTTTATGTTGGCTGTTTTTTTTTTTTAGTAGTCTATTTGAGTTTCTGAAATAATTTTATGAACTAAGTATTGACTAATTGTCCAAGGCTTGTCCAACTTTCTGCAAAAGAAACCAAGTCATTATTGAAATATGAAAAATTCAATCATCTCACATGGTCATGACTAGATTTTTAGTGCCAAGCATGCAGTACTTTTATATTTAACAGATAAGAATATCCTGGGTAATGCATCTTACATGACATTTGCATGCTGTTGATGTATATTGTTGTACAATATAGTTGTCTTTAGAAAATAATCTGAGATAAAGTAATCCTAACAAGAGACTCTCTCTCTCAGTGGATAATAGTGTTCCCTAATCTAAAGTGTTACCAAATTGTCTAATAAACAGGACATTATATCATTATATACTCTCATTCACAACAAATATGCTGAGTGGATCAGCATGTTTATTTGCAACACCGTAGTCTATTTGAGCTTCTGAAATAATTTTATGAACTAAGTATTGACTAATTGTCCAAGGCTTGTCCAACTTTCTGCAAAAAGGAAACCAAGTCATTATTGAAATATGAAAAATTCAACCATCTCACATGGTCATGACTAGATTTTTAGTGCCGAGCATGCAGTACTTTTATATTCAACAGATAAGAATATCCTGGGTAATGCATCTTACATGACATTTGCATGCTGTTGATATATATTGTTGTGTAATATAGTTGTCTTTAGAAAATAATCTGAGATAAAGTAATCCTAACAAGAGACTCTCTCTCTCAGTGGATAATAGTGTTCCCTAATCTAAAGTGTTACCAAATTGTCTAATAAACAGGACATTATATCATTATATACTCTCCTTCACAACAAATATGCTGAGTGGATCAGCATGTTTATTTGCAACACCTCATTGCAGCCAGGAGATGGTGGACTTGTCTCATTTCCTCACAACACTGTTTCAACCTGTCTTTCTCCTAATTGTCTTTGCTCTTCACTGCTTCAATGTGCAAAAATATATTTTACATTAGTTACAAATTGTCAAAATGGATTATATCATGGATATGTTCAAACATATACTTCGTAAAAGTAAACAGAAAACTATCAAAAATATAACTTTTAACTGTGGACTAGACCTTGATTCTCCTGATGATGTGCGAGCTGGTGTGAAGTGACGATTATCCCTCCCCTTTAGCAAACTGTCACTCAATTAGCAAACCACAATGATCCAATCTGAAATTACCAATGGACAAAACCAAGACCCATCCTATATTTTTTTCTCGTCCATTTTACTTGGCTATGTGTCACAGAAGAGAAGAACAGATGATAAAAAAATACCAAAATACTCTCCTCATAATAGCACTGTTCTAAACCCCAGATTAATGGAATCTTATATGGTGTTTTGACATTGCTCATATTTTGCACGGGATAACAATTAATAGTGGATATTTATAATTTTCTTAGCTCTTATTAAAGTAGTTGCAGCAGCAACCGGAAGTAAACTCTTAATAAAGAACGCCAAAATCTTAAATGGAAGGCATTCAATAATTTATTAAAGTTATAAAAGTAATTCCAAAAAATCAAGAGAAGCATGATTTTGGCATTACACTATGTGGCGTCCCCTCGGACCATTTGCTGCTTCAAAGTGCGGGGCCCGGTGCGACCGCCCAAAGTATGGCCCTGGCAACGGAGTTCCTAACAGCAGCTGCAGTGACGTAATGACTTACCACCTGACGACTGGCTCTTTTATTTAGAAGGCGGGACTTATAGGGATAGGTCACCCCAAAATGAAAATTCTGTCATTAATTACTCACCCTCATGTTGTTCCAAACCCGTAAGACCTTCGTTCATCTTTAGAACACAAATTAAGATATTTTTGATGAAATGTGAGAGCTCTCTGACCCCGCATAGACCGCAACGCAACTGTAATGTTCCCAGGTCAGAACCGTAGTAAGGACATCCGGTAAAACAGTCCATGTGACATCAGTGGCTCAACTTCAGTTTTGCGAAGCTACGAGAATACTTTTTGAGCGCAAAGAAAACAAACATTTTTTTTCAACAATTCTTCTTCCCCGAGTTACGTCTTCTGCCATTTTAGAGAGCATCACGATGCATACGCGCGCGTTCTCCCCCGAACATAAACAACGCAGATTACGTAGTTACACTCTTGGGTACTCTCCAAAATGGCGTAAGACGTAACTCGGGGGAGAAGAATTGTTAAATAAATTGTTTATAAATTGTAATAAAAAGTTGAGCCACTGATGTCACATGTTTTACTGATGTCCTTGCTACGTTTCTGGACCTGGGGACATTAGAGTTGCATTGCTGTCTATGCAGGGTGACTATTTAGATGTCATCAAAAATATCTTTCTTTGTGTTCTGAAGTTGAACGGAGGTCTTACGGGTTTGGAATGACATGAGGGTGAGTAATTAATGACAGAATTTTCATTTTGGGGTGAACTTACCCTTTATTCTGTCAATTCACACTTCACGTTCTCCCATTTATAGCAATGGCAGTGCATTGTCTTGGTATATCTAAAGTCTTTGATTTGAGGCACACGCTGTTCAATTTCTGATCAGGTGCCTCGTCAAAGCTTCTAGCTGTAACATTTTAAGGGGCTGTTCATACAACACGTGTTTGTGCGCTCCAGTGTGCTGCTTTTCCATTGTTTTTCTATGCGCTAGATATGTTCTATGTCTGGGGCCGTTCACACAGAACACGTTTTTGCATTCCACTGCGCTGCCAGTGTTTTTCTATGTAAACATTTGCAAGACGGACCACTATTTTTTATTTATGTATTTGTTATTCATGCTGCATTTTGTGAACGGTCCCTTAGACCATTGTGCTCATGTCTTGCATCATTTGAAGAGTCTCGCATTGTTATAAAAATCCATCACTCTAGTTCAACTTATAAAAAATGCATCTCTAGACCTTGCATTTGTTTCATTCCAGTGCCTTCTGTCTCGCATTTTTCAGCACAAAAACACATTCTGTATGAACGGCCCCTTAGACTATTGCACCCACAAAAATGTGTCTAAGATTTGTATTTTTGTCCATTCAATATGTGTCTATCATTTTTAAATGCAAAAATGATTACTGTGTGAATGGCCCCTAATACAACATTGTTTTCCTATGTACACTTCTTTCACAGTCTAGAACAGGGGTGCCCAAACTCGGTCCTGGAGGGCCGGTGTCCTGCAGAGTTTAGCTCCAGCTTGCCTCATCACACCTGCTTGGAAGTTTCTAGTATGCCTAGTAAGACCTTGATTAGCTGCTTCAGGTGTGTTTGATTAGGGTTGGAGCTAAACTCAGCAGGACACCGGCCCTCCAGGACCGAGTGTGGGTACCCCTGGTCTAAAATGATGATAACCCAGTGTAGCCCTGTAGTCAGATTGTTTCATAAGTTGTTTATCATTTAACTTATCGACCAGTTTAGTAGGACTAGTAGCAGCAATAACACTGTTTAATGTCAGTTTATAGATTGCTTAAAGAAAGGAAGAAACTGTCTTCCCTCTCTCTCTCTCTCTCTCTCACACACACACACACGTCTGTGCCTGCGGGTGTGTAGCCTCATGTATGCGGATTGGGTTCTTGTATCCCTTTGATCCGCATGAATGGAATTATAGATGGCTTTTACGTAACTGTTCTCCTGCCCAAAGAGGAAAAAAAGATTAACGTCTCAAACTTTATTCTGCTTTACTCTCAGTGTTTTCCTCCCTCGCTTTCTGAAGCCTGGCAGGCTTGTGTGCGGTGTGGAGCTGTCTGTATTTAGGTCATCTCACTCAACGAGTGATTCTCTGCATGAAGAAAAGGAACAGAGAGGAGCTGTGGGAAATATAGGTGTCGGTACTCCCCTTCTTTGCATATATATGTGGATAGAGACGGAGGCAAACTGAAGAATAAATGGGAATATTCGTTATTTACTGACAATGCTGACATACAGTGCTTAAATTTATTACACCACCTGTCATAATAAAAACAAAATATATTAGGAATCTGTCAAAATCTTGTTTAAAGCTAAATAAAAAATATCGTCACTTATTAGGCAAATAACAAACAAATGAAATGAAATTATTCATACATAATAACCAAATAATGCATTTAATTTTTTTATTATTTTGTATGGCCTCCTTTGGCCTTCCAAATATTTTCTAGCTGTTCTAAAAGACTTGCTTTTGATTAAACTTTTGTGTGATCTATATTTGAATCTATTAAATCCCAACAATAATTATATTTTAACATAAGAAAGACTACTGTGAGCAGAGGCGGACTGTAGTGAAGTATTTTTACCTTGCTGTAAAAGTACTTTTCAAGTGTCAGTACTTTATCAGAGTGTTTTTCTTTAGAAAGCTTTACTGCACAACATTCCAAAGCATAATATTGCACTTTTTACTGCACTACGTTTCATATTAAATATCATTTAATACTTAATTACATTAGAAATATATTACTTTCTTTCTTTTACTCAAGTAAAAGTAATTGAAAGATTTACTTGAGTACAAGAAAGTACTACATTTTTAATGTTCTTAAGTATAAAAGGTAAAACAAATAACTTTTATGAAATTTAGTGCAGTAAAAAGTAAGACATTATGCTTTGGAATGTAGTGAAGTAAAAGTTTCCCAAAGAAAAACACTGATAAACTACAGATAATTTTAAATTTACTTGAGTAAAGTAAAAATACTTCACTACTGTCCGCCTCTGACTGTGAGTAAAGAGCGTACACATACTGGTGTGGATTAACCATGGCAGAAACATAAATGTTTTTGCTAATCACCTATACTTTTAGTTTAGGGCAGCTGTGACACAAACCTTACATTGGGTGGTGGTCTAAAAAATGTACAATGCACTGTATATTAATTGTGACAGACTTAATATATAGCCTGTATTTGCTCTATAATGGTGTTTACCAAGCACCGGGCTACCACAA